CTACTTACAAAATGTTCTAGTTAAAAAATTTCTTCCAGAACCAATTCATTTAGTAAGTACAGGTAGCACTGTAATGGGAATTTAATTCATGAAATAATTCCAGTTGCCTTCTTTATTAAAACCTTCATAGTATCAACAGGTTGTGTTGAATTATGTGCATTTTCCCATTCTTAACTGCCATAAAAATAAGTTTATTAGCAGAGTAACCCAGACAGAGCTTGTGTTTGGGGGCGAAGGCGAGCAGTAGTGCTGACAGCTATCGGACAACTGAAAAAAAATTTATGTCATCAATGAGTCAACGTTGAAAACTCTCAAGTCGTTTCACGCCAAATACAAACTGTAACGTGACGCGCAATTCTTCATGGCCTAAGCATGCCTGGAATTGTCAGCCAGACTTTGAATTGTAGACAACTCTCCATTGATATATGTTGCTATTATCGATGCAGCCTTTTTTTTTTCTTCTCATAAATATTGTTAAAATATATATTTCCACTTTCCGTTTACTTCAATTCAGTTCCACTTGATTCAAAAGTCGAGTTGACTCATCAGTGATTACAAGAACCCATTTGCCTGCGCTGATTATTTGAGTGCAGTACTTCTGCTTTGCCTCATCTGAAGCATCGTTGAATCATGCAAAGCTCTGTGTTGATGTTTGACAGTATCTTATTGTCACTTTCTCCACAAAAAAAAAAAAAAAAAAAAAAAAGCGAATCACTTCCATTGCCACTGAATTGCCTTCACTGGTTTTATGATGATAAGCAGATCATTTAAGCGTTCTATCATTTCGGCTGACATTCGAAGGAGAAAAATCAAAAGAATTCAAAAACAAAACTATTCTATGGCGCGCGACAGCATTTGGTCAAAAGGCGACCGCGTTGTGATGCAGCTGCCAATGCAGGGTTCTCGTCCTTGAAGGTCAAAGGTCATATCGTTGATCCATCCTGCCTTTGTTTCCAGAGGTCTTCCGGTTTTGCGAGGGGACCAATGTCCACCGCATGTCTCATTTCCTGTCTCGAAAACGCTGTCAAGGAAACAATGTTGAGGAGCAGCTGTTCAACAGAGAGACCTGCAATCAGTTGATTGAAACAGGTTTTCGGCATGGACGACTGAGCTCCATTCCGCAGAGAGCTCTTTATAGTGTAATTTTTAAATTCTCTTGCAAGTCTATTCAGTGATTTTTGAGACAGCTCTTGCAGTCACTCACTCAGATCTGATACCATACAAAATATTCAGGTGTAGCCGAATGTTGCGACGTGAAGCCCGATTCACGCCATCACGTCAACTTGCAATGGATTTATTGTGTCATTAAACAAATGCAAACGATAAACAAACATTTGAGTTATTCTGTCCTAACCACAACGTAGTTCAGCCAACTTTCAGCCTCACCAGTCTCACCCCGACCCCCC